CTACCCACACGAAAAATTCATATGTAGAAGCAGGAGCAAGGCTATCCACCACAAAACTGGTGTTTGTTGTGCTTTTAGATACATTGCTGTAGTCTTCTCCAAGCCACTGGATCCAGTATGTCAGGTCATGACCTTCTGGTTCGTCCCAGCTCAGGGTGATGGAGCTGTTGGTTTGAGCTTCCACTCTCAAGTTTATCACTGGGTTTGGAGCTGAAAACAAGGGAGAATCATTTGTCCCCAAATTTCCTCAACCTATGAAACCTGTGTGAGTTGTGCCTACAATCCAATCTCATCCCTTGGGAGGCTGAGGCAGGAGGACTTCATGAGTTCAAAGACAGCCTGTGCTTCCAAGTGAATTCCAGGCTGGGGGTATGGAGTCATATCCACACTTGAGTGTGCACACACAAACACAGACATATGATAGCAATGAATAAACTAAGATAAAGTAAAATAAATAAATAAGATACTGAGCCATACAGGAAAACAGCTGACAATAAGCTCTGGCTACACACACACAAATTCTCACACAACATTCACACAATACTATATCGGCCGGGTGTGGTGGCATGCGCCTTTAATTCCAGCACGTGTGAGGTAGTTAGTTTGACACCAGCCAGGTTTACAGACTGTGTTATGAGATAGTCTGGGCTACTCAGAAAAACTCTGTCTAAAATATAAAATAATAACCAGAGAAAGAGATAGATTGATAAATAGAGAGATAGGTAGATAAATAAAATATAAATACATCAAAATAATAATGAGCCAGGATGTGCACATGCAGAAGCCCACAGAGCTCCAGGAACCAAGTAGGGGCAGTGCATGGACTGGTACCAGCGACATTCACGGCTCCTCAGCCTTGGTCATAGAAGCTGCTGTCTGCAGGGATGGTGGTTAGCACATCTCGGGGATGGCCGAGATGCTGAAGACATATCTATCAACCCCTCCAATGCTCAGAGATTATCACAGAAGAGAGAGGAATGTAAAAACCAAAAGACAGAGAGGAGGTGTGCAATGCTGTCTTGGGTATGACATGGGTGTAGTACAAATGAACCCCAGCAGCTATGCTTGTAGGTATGAAGCCTACATAAGATTAATGCCCTCAGTACTCAGACATCAAAAGAAGCCCACTTGAGACCTTAGAGTCCAGAACTGCTGATTGAGAAGAAGCCACTACTTCAGTTACATAGCTTTACTCACACCAGGTCACAAAATAAAAACGAAAGGCTATGCAGTTGTTCCTCAGATCATGTATCCTTAAATTGCTCTGAGTTTGGGCTCTAAATAGGACCAGCAGGAAAATAAACTGATCCTGCTCCTCACATTTATGTAAGTAATGGACCCCGTGGTGGATTGGGATGGCTGAGAACAATTGAAAATTCCATATGGAGGTTCAAGTTTTGTGTGATGGGTGAGTTCTTGGGATGTGCTAACTCCCAGATATTCCCTTCTGTGTTTCAGTCTAGTTCTGTTGGATCGTGGAATTGGCCACCTTCTGTCCTTCTCTCTCTCTGTCTCTCTCAATGATTACTCAGCGTTGCTCTGACGCTGAGTTCTGAACAGAGTGAGTTCAGAAACTCACTCTGTTGAGCAGGCTGACCTCAAAGTCAAAGAGATCTGCCTGGCTCTTGAGTCCAAGTGCTAGGATTAAAGGTGTGCACCACCACCACCAGGTTCTTTGTTCATCCCTAAACATGTCCCTTCAAAATAAAGAAAGAAGACAAGAGATTCTGCCTCTCACCTGTGGAGGCATTGAGGGTCTCCGTGGTGCTATTGATTTCATTTTTTTCTACCCACACGAAAAATTCATATGTAGAAGCAGGAGCAAGGCTATCCACCACAAAACTGGTGTTTGTTGTGCTTTTAGATACATTGCTGTAGTCTTCTCCAAGCCACTGGATCCAGTATGTCAGGTCATGACCTTCTGGTTCGTCCCAGCTCAGGGTGATGGAGCTGTTGGTTTGAGCTTCCACTCTCAAGTTTATCACTGGGTTTGGAGCTGAAAACAAGGGAGAATCATTTGTCCCCAAATTTCCTCAACCTATGAAACCTGTGTGAGTTGTGCCTACAATCCAATCTCATCCCTTGGGAGGCTGAGGCAGGAGGACTTCATGAGTTCAAAGACAGCCTGTGCTTCCAAGTGAATTCCAGGCTGGGGGTATGGAGTCATATCCACACTTGAGTGTGCACACACAAACACAGACATATGATAGCAATGAATAAACTAAGATAAAGTAAAATAAATAAATAAGATACTGAGCCATACAGGAAAACAGCTGACAATAAGCTCTGGCTACACACGCACAAATTCTCACACAACATTCACACAATACTATATCGGCCGGGTGTGGTGGCATGCGCCTTTAATTCCAGCACGTGTGAGGTAGTTAGTTTGACACCAGCCAGGTTTACAGACTGTGTTATGAGAGAGTCTGGGCTACTCAGAAAAACTCTGTCTAAAATATAAAATAATAACCAGAGAAAGAGATAGATTGATAAATAGAGAGATAGGTAGATAAATAAAATATAAATACATCAAAATAATAATGAGCCAGGATGTGCACATGCAGAAGCCCACAGAGCTCCAGGAACCAAGTAGGGGCAGTGCATGGACTGGTACCAGCGACATTCACGGCTCCTCAGCCTTGGTCATAGAAGCTGCTGTCTGCAGGGATGGTGGTTAGCACATCTCGGGGATGGCCGAGATGCTGAAGACATATCTATCAACCCCTCCAATGCTCAGAGATTATCACAGAAGAGAGAGGAATGTAAAAACCAAAAGACAGAGAGGAGGTGTGCAATGCTGTCTTGGGTATGACATGGGTGTAGTACAAATGAACCCCAGCAGCTATGCTTGTAGGTATGAAGCCTACATAAGATTAATGCCCTCAGTACTCAGACATCAAAAGAAGCCCACTTGAGACCTTAGAGTCCAGAACTGCTGATTGAGAAGAAGCCACTACTTCAGTTACATAGCTTTACTCACACCAGGTCACAAAATAAAAACGAAAGGCTATGCAGTTGTTCCTCAGATCATGTATCCTTAAATTGCTCTGAGTTTGGGCTCTAAATAGGACCAGCAGGAAAATAAACTGATCCTGCTCCTCACATTTATGTAAGTAATGGACCCCGTGGTGGATTGGGATGGCTGAGAACAATTGAAAATTCCATATGGAGGTTCAAGTTTTGTGTGATGGGTGAGTTCTTGGGATGTGCTAACTCCCAGATATTCCCTTCTGTGTTTCAGTCTAGTTCTGTTGGATCGTGGAATTGGCCACCTTCTGTCCTTCTCTCTCTCTGTCTCTCTCAATGATTACTCAGCGTTGCTCTGACTGTTCAGAAACTCACTCTGTTGAGCAGGCTGACCTCAAAGTCAAAGAGATCTGCCTGGCTCTTGAGTCCAAGTGCTAGGATTAAAGGTGTGCACCACCACCACCAGGTTCTTTGTTCATCCCTAAACATGTCCCTTCAAAATAAAGAAAGAAGACAAGAGATTCTGCCTCTCACCTGTGGAGGCATTGAGGGTCTCCGTGGTGCTATTGATTTCATTTTTTTCTACCCACACGAAAAATTCATATGTAGAAGCAGGAGCAAGGCTATCCACCACAAAACTGGTGTTTGTTGTGCTTTTAGATACATTGCTGTAGTCTTCTCCAAGCCACTGGATCCAGTATGTCAGGTCATGACCTTCTGGTTCGTTCCAGCTCAGGGTGATGGAGCTGTTGGTTTGAGCTTCCACTCTCAAGTTTATCACTGGGTTTGGAGCTGAAAACAAGGGAGAATCATTTGTCCCCAAATTTCCTCAACCTATGAAACCCGTGTGAGTTGTGCCTACAATCCAATCTCATCCCTTGGGAGGCTGAGGCAGGAGGACTTCATGAGTTCAAAGACAGCCTGTGCTTCCAAGTGAATTCCAGGCTGGGGATATGGAGTCATATCCACACTTGATTGTGCACACACAAACACAGACATATGACAGCAATGAATAAACTAAGATGAAGTAAAATAAATCAATAAGATACTTAGCAACAAAGAAGACAGCTTACAATAAGTTCTGGCTACACATGCACAAATTTTTGCACACACAATACTAAATTGGCCGGGTGTGGTGGCATGTGCCTTTAATCCTAGCACGCAGGAGGCAGTCAGTTTACACACACTCTGGGCTACTCGGAGAAACTCTTTCCTGAAAAGCAAAATAATAAACTGGTCAAGAGATAGATTAATGGATTGAAAGATAAAAAAATAGATAGAAAAATAAAAATAAATAAAAACATCAAAATAAGAAGGAGACAGGTTGCACATGTACAGAAGCCCACGGAGCTCCAGGGACCAAGTAGGGGCCAGTGCATGGACTTGTACCAGGGATGTTCGTGTCTCCTCACCCTTGGTCATAGAAGCTGCTGTCTGTAGGGATGGTGGTTAACACAGAGACTCATGAATGCCTGAGATGTTTAAGATATATATGTAGCCCATCTAAGGCTCAGAGATCATCATGGAAAAGGATGAACAGAATGTAAGAACAGGAAGATAAAGAGGATATGTGCAATGCTGTCTTTGGGATGACATGGCTGTAGTACAAATGAACCCCAGCATCTGTGCTTGTAGGCATGAAGCCTACACAAGATTAAAGCCCTAAGTACTCAGCTATAAAGGGAGGAGGCTCTCTTGAGACCTTACCATTCCAGGACTGCTGATTGAGAGGAAGCCACTGTCTTCAGTGACACAACCACCTCAGTGGGTAACTCCATACCCACACCAGGTCACAAAATAAAAACAAAAGTCAATGCAGTTGTTCCTCAGATCGCCTGTCCTTAAATTGTTCTGGGTTGGGGCTCTAAGTCGGGACCAACGGGAAGATCAATGTACCTGGTCCTCACATTTATGTAAGTCATGGACCCCGTTGTGAGGTGGGATGGCTGAGAACAATAAGAAGTCCAATAGGGAGGTACAAGTTTTGTGATGTGTGGGTTCCTGCGACGTGGCCAGTCACATGCCATGGAGCTGGAATAGTTTACTATGAAATTAGGAATGCTGGTGTTGTGCTCCCTTTATGCTCATAATATAAAGAAAGGGTCCTGGTGGACCCACTGGGTCACAGAACTATGAGGGTCAACATCACCTGTATTGAGTTTTATGTCCGATTTTTTTGGTTTTTGTTTGTTTGTTTTTTCTAGACGGGGTTTCTCTGTAGCTTTGGAGCCTGTCCTGGAACTCGCTCTGTAGACCAGGCTGGCCTCGAACTCACAAGATCTGCCTGCCTCTGCCTCCCGAGTGCTGGAATTAAAGGCGTGTGCCACCACTGCCGGACGAGTTTAAAGTAGGTGATAAAACCAGATATTCACTTGTTTGTGTTTTAGTCTAGTTCTGTTGGATGGTGGAATCTGCAACCTTCTGTCTCTCTCTCTCTCTGTCTCTCTCTCTCTCTCTGTCTCTCTCTCTCTCTCTCTGTCTGTCTGTCTCTCTCTCGCTGTCTCTCTCTGTCTCTGTCTCTCTGTCTCTGTCTCTGTCTCTGTCTCTCTCTCTCTCTCTCTCTCTCTCTCTCTCTCTCTCTCTTTCCACAGCTACTCTGTGTTGCTCTGACTGTTCAGAAACTCACTCTGTAGAGCAGGCCAACCTCAGAGTCAAAGAGATCTGCCTGGCTCTGACATCCAATTGTGAGGATTAAAAGTGTGCACAAAGACCACCAAGCTCTCCGGTCACCCCTAAACTCGTCCCTTCAAAATGAAGAAAGAATACAAGAGATCCTGCCTCTCACCTGTAGAGGCGTTGAGGGTGTCCATGGTGCTATTGATTTCATTTTTTTCTACCCACACGAAAAATTCATATGTAGAAGCAGGAGCAAGGCTATCCACCACAAAACTGGTGTTTGTTGTGCTTTTAGATACATTGCTGTAGTCTTCTCCAAGCCACTGGATCCAGTATGTCAGGTCATGACCTTCTGGTTCGTTCCAGCTCAGGGTGATAGAGCTGTTGTTCTGAGTTTCCACCCTCAGGTTTGTCACTGGGTTTGGAGCTGAAAACAAGGGCAGAAGTGAGAATCATTTTCCTCATTTCCTCAACCTATGAAACCTGTGTGAGTTGTGCCTACAATCCAATCTCATCCCTTGGGAGGCTGAGGCAGGAGGACTTCATGAGTTCAAAGACAGCCTGTGCTTCCAAGTGAATTCCAGGCTGGGGATATGGAGTCATATCCACACTTGAGTGTGCACACACAAACACAGACATATGATAGCAACGAATAAACTAAGATAAAGTAAAATAAATCAATAAGATACTGAGCCACAGAGAAAGACAGCTGGCAATAAGCTCTGGCTACACACACACAAATTCTCACACAACATTCACACAGAGTACTAATCAGCTGGTGTGGTAGCATGTGCCTTTAATCCCAGTAAGTGGGAGGCAGTCAGTTTGAGATCAGCCAGGTCTACAGACTGAGTTCCAACATAGTTTGGGCTACTCAGAGAAACTCTTTTTTAAAAGCAAAATAATAAACAGAAAAAGAGATAGATTGATAGATCAATAGATAGAGAAATAGATAGATACATAAAAATATAAATAAATAAATAAATAAATAAATCAAAATAAGAATGAGCCAGGTTATGCATGTACAGAAGCCCACAGAGCTCCAGGAACCAAGTTGGGGCCAGTGCATGGACTGGTACCAGGAACCATCATGGCTCCTCAGCCTTGGTCATAGAAGCTGCTGTCTGTAGGGATGGTGGTTAACACTGAGACTCAGGGATGGTTGGGGTGTTAAAGACATGTCTGTCAACCCCTGCTAGGCTCAGAGATCATCATGGAAAAGGATGAACAGAATGTAAAAAGATAAAGAGGACATGTGCAATGCTGTCTTTGGGATGACAAGGCGGTAGTACAAATGAACCCCAGCATCTGTGCTTGTAGGCATGAAGCCTACATAAGATTAAAGCCCTAAGTTCTCAGCTATAAAAGGAGGAGGCCCTCTTGAGACCTTACCATTTCAGGATTGCTGATTGAGAGGAAGCCACTGTCTTCAGTGACCCAGCCACCTCAGTGAGTAACTCCATACCCACACCAGGTCACAAAATAAAAACAAAAGTCAATGCAATTGTTCCTCAGATCAACTGTCCTGAAATTGTTCTGAATTGGGCCTCTAAGTTGGGACCAACGGAAAGATCATCTGGTCCTGGTCCTCACATTTATGTAAATCATGGACCCTGTTGTGGGGTGGGATGGCTGAGAACAATAAGAAGTCCAATAGGGAGGTACAAGTTTTGTGATGTGTGGGTTCCTGCGACGTGGCCAGTCACATGCCATGGAGCTGGAATAGTTTACTATGAAATTAGGAATGCTGGTGTTGTGCTCCCTTTATGCTCATAATATAAAGAAAGGGTCCTCTTGGACCCACTGGGTCACAGACAATGAAGGTCAACATCACCTTTGTGGAACTTCATCTGTTTAAAGTGGGTGATAAAAACCAGATATTCACTTATTTGTGTTTCAGTCTAGTTCTGTTTGATTCTGCATTCCGCCACCTTCTTTCTTCTCTTTCTCACTCTATTTCTCTGTCTCTCTCTCTATCCATGATTACTCTGTGTTGCTCAAGCTGTTCAGAAACTCACTCTGCTGACCAGGCCAACCTCAGAGTCAAAGAGACCTTGCCTGGCTTAAAGTCCAAGTCCTAGGGAAAAAGGGGGGCACCACCACCATCAGGCTCTCTGGTCACCCCTAAACATGTCCCTTCAAAATAAAGAAAGAAGACAAAGATTCTGCCTCTCACCTGTGGAGGCATTGAGGGTCTCCGTGGTGCTATTGATTTCACTTTTTCCTACCCACACGAAAAATTCATATGTAGAAGCAGGAGCAAGGCTATCCACCACAAAACTGGTGTTTGTTGTGCTTTTAGATACATTGCTGTAGTCTTCTCCAAGCCACTGGATCCAGTATGTCAGGTCATGACCTTCTGGTTCGTCCCAGCTCAGGGTGATGGAGCTGTTGTTCTGAGTTTCCACTCTCAGGTTTGTCACTGGGTTTGGAGCTGAAAACAAGGGCAGAAGTGAGAATCATTTTCCTCATTTCCTCAACCTATGAAACCTGTGTGAGTTGTGCCTACAATCCAATCTCATCCCTTGGGAGGCTGAGGCAGGAGGACTTCATGAGTTCAAAGACAGCCTGTGCTTCCAAGTGAATTCCAGGCTGGGGATATGGAGTCATATCCACACTTGAGTGTGCACACACAAACACAGACATATGATAGCAA